ATCCCCGCGGGCGGGGGGCGGCCGGTCCCGGTCCCGGTCCGGTCCGATGCGGCGTCGGGGCGGGCAGGATGCACCAGAAGCTGCTGCGGAGCGCTCACTACATCGAGCTGGGGAGCTACCAGTACTGGCCGGTGCTGGTGCCCCGCGGCATCCGCCTCTACACCTACGAGCAGATCCCCGTCTTCCTCAAGGACAACCCCTACATCACCGACGGCTACCGGGCCTACCTGCCCTCCCGGCTCTGCCTCAAGAGGTGAGGGCAACCCCCACACACCGGCCCCGGCTCACCCCAACTCCCCCCCCCCTCCGCCTCACCCCGTCCTTGTCTCCTCACAGCCTCTTCATCCTCTCCAACGAGACCGTCAACATCTGGAGCCACCTGCTCGGCTTCCTCCTCTTCTTCACGCTGGGCATCTACGACCTGACGGCCGTCCTGCCGGCCGCTGGCGCTTCCCGGGAGGATTTCGTCATCTGCTCCGTCTGCCTCTTCTGCTTCCAGGTAGGGGCTGGCTGGGTGCCCACCGAGGTACCGGCGCCCGAGCGCGGGCCGGCAGCTTCCTCAGGGGAGCCGTCACCTTTGAGAAGGAAGAGCGTTCCAGCCCACGGACATGTTGCGCGAGCGGGTCGGCAGAGCAAGACGGACTAAGGTCAGGCCTGGGAAAGGGTGTTTCGAGTCACATGTAAAGGTAACTGATGAGCTCGGTGCTCGAGGTGATTATGACCCATTCGATAGCTGCAGTAAACCAGGGAGCACTGAACAGAGCTGGCTTAGAAAAGACTCCATCAAAAACAACTAAACTGTCCAGCTTCAGCTGGGCGTCAGGGACCCAGACAGCATCAGTTGCTGCTGGAAAGGGTCACCGGCCAGAACACGAAAATCAGCCACAGCCTGATGCTGGTCCGGAATGGCAGTAGGGCTCGTATTCTAACTTTTTACCTTTTCTAAACAAGAGCTCTGGCGGCAGATGAAATCTGTTCTCAGCAGCAGACTTCAACTGTGTCATCATTTGAGAACTGAAGCTCCTGTATAATACACTGTCCCTAAAAAAGCGTGAAGAGCTCAAGACTGCTGTTCATGTTCCCTGAAGAGTACAGGATGCCTTTGCGCAGCTTGAAGCAGGGAAAACTCCCTTGCTGGCTTGGAGAGCACCGCTGTTGTGCTCCTCACTACTCCTGTTGAGGGTTGCAGCGAAACACAGACATTTCTCAGGGAAAAAAGCTGATGCCAGCCTAGAAGGGGCTTGTGTGGAGATGTTAAATTTCTTTTGTGTTCCCTCAATAAAGTAACTCGGGTGCCAGGCAGTCAGGGCAGATTTGGGCTTTGGTTTCTGGTTGTGGTCGTTTGGCCAAGCAGAACTCATCGTCCCACTGTACTGATAAAGACACGGCCCTGCTCCTTTGCGTAGTGGCTTCTCGCTTGGCCTCAATAGCCCAGGTTTCTTAGCTGTGCCACTTGGGGTTGTTGCGTCTTGCAAAGTTTTCTGTTCCTTCTTCCATCTGCCGGAGAAGCTTATGTTAGTTTCTGTTGTTTTCTGGCAGGATTCACAATTGCCTACACCGAAGTTGTATTGCAAAACATTTAACAGATCAATCGCATGTACTAAGTTTCAGACTTTAGGCTTAGTATACTCCCTGTTAATTTTTAAGAAATTAATGCATCCTTGTTTGAACATTTGTATAGGTCTGTATGCTTTGCTCAGTAGGATACCATCTTTTCTGTTGTCACCGCTCAGAGAAGACCAGCCGACGATGGATGGCATTAGATTATGCGGGAATTTCCATTGGTATCCTGGGCTGCTACGTGTCAGGCGTGTTTTATGCATTTTATTGCAATAACGTAAGTTTGAAGTACTTGTTCATGTAACCTTTAGTTCCTGTGGTCTCGTCATTGTAGTTTTCATGCCGTAGGAAGGGGGTTCATTGCAAGGTGTTCAAATAGAATGTTAGTCAGGAGACGGAGATGGAAACTGAAACAAGTTCCTTCTGACACCAGCAGAACTCTGCTTGCTGAAATGATGAGCAAATTGAGGTTTCCCTTTCAAGCTATCGCACAAGCCTCCACAAAATATTTAAATCTATATGAAGGCAGCGTAAACTTTACAGGTCCTACATTTGTCAAACGCATGAGTATGATTATGGGATGTGTCCCCATCACAAGTCATTCAAACATCATTTCCCACTACGTAGCTTACCTGAGGCAGCAACAAGATTATTTTATCTTCTTCTAGTAGAGAACAATTAAAATTAATTCCCTTTGAAGACTTAGATTATATCCACACCTACAGTGGGTACAGCAATCAGGTAGTTGAACAAGTCTGCTGAGGCAGAGATAAATTTAAAATGTTTTGGTGAAGGAACTGCTTGGAGTAAATGATGTTCTACCAGGTGTACTGGAGCAAGACAGTCCCTTCCCCTTGCTGTCAGTTGATAAATACAAGTCCGTTCATTCAAACCCCATCATTTGTGCTTGCGGCAGTGACAAGGGATTTGATATATCATTACATTTAGCATTGTAAACTTTCTACCCAGAAATTATTTTTACACGTGGTGAGAAAGCTCACGAACTTGCTTTTGTTTCTTTTTTTTTCTCAGTACTGGCGTCAGGTATATTTAATCACTGTGCTGGCAATGATCTTGGCAGTATTTTTTGCTCAGATTCATCCCAGTTACCTCACACAACAGTGGCACAGACTGCGCTCCATCATCTTTTGCTCAGTGTCTGGATATGGAATTATTCCTACCATCCACTGGATTTGGCTCAATGGCGGCATTGGTGCATCTATTGTACAGGTAAAAGAAAAAAAAGAGAAAATAAGATACCCTTTTGCTTTTCTCTTGCTATCTTCCTTCAGTCTTCTTTACGCTTTGGGAAATGAAGGGGAATTAAAATTGCTTGAAGCTCAGAATTATTTCAGACGAGACGATCCAATTGCAAACACTTAGAAATTTGTTGAGCAGTGGTAAATGCATGGTGTAGCTTAAATCTGCTTTACTGATTTACAACTGCACCATGAGAAGGAAAACTGGATACAAGTGTGACTGAGCCTGTCTGCCTGAGGGACAGGGCAGCCTGCGTAGGTGGACTGCACCCTTGCTCACCCGAGGGCAAGGAATAGGAGCAAAGAGCTGACTCGACTGCAGAGCGGGAAGCAGTCTGTCAGGCTGTGCCAGTGCTCTGAGCTGTCCGCCTCCACAGCTCGAGAGGGGAGAGGGGAACTAGAAGACACTGATGAGATGATTATTTGCTTCCTTTTCCCTGGGTTGGCAGCAAAAAACAGTATTTGCCTACTCCAGCCCCCTGTCTCTTACACAACCCTTATTTAACATCACTGTGAAGTTATCGAACTATTTTCCTGTTCTTATTTTACCTGCGCTCTGAAAAACAAGCAGCACAGTGTAGCTGAGGACAGTTAAGTATGCCCCAATATGAAAACACCAGAAGTCATTGCAATTACCCAGGGACCTAACTGCTGAAGAAAACGTTTCCTTTTCATAGTGAGCAGTAACTGTGCACATTCTTAGACTGGCCCTGCTGGAGGACTGTCAGCAGGGGTGATGGTTTAGCCCAGTCCAGAGCTGCTGTTGAATGTGGAATAGCAACATTTATGAATATATGTAGTCTTGAGACAGGGCACTTATCGCTGTCCTTCTAGAAATCAGATTTAACAGTAGGTGTTCCCCCCCGTCTTCTCCCATTTCATTTCTCCTGGTACAGGAGAATGTTATTCCTGCATTTTGTTTCCCTACTTCAGAAAAATGCTCTGCTTCTGTTAAGAAAACTTTCTGTTAAAGAAAACAAAAAGCAGCTCACTAGTGGGTTGCTTGATTATTTACCATCCAGTATGTGGTACTCCTGGGGCCTTGGGTTCTAGGGACTGCAATCCCAACCAGTAAATGAGATTTTGCACTGAAGTCATCCTTCTTGCTTATCCTAGCCATTTTGCATAAGAGCAGTGTATTGGAAGATATCCTTTTACTGGCAAATTTCATGTCTGTTGCAGACTGCACAGAAACACTTAAGTAGCTTGTGTATTGAAGCAGAGAAGTCATGATAAAACAAGTTTCTTCCCATTCAGATTTTCCCAAACTTTGGCATTTGCTTCCCTGTTGGATTTTATCCATAGGTAACATAGGCAGTGAAGTAAGATTCAGTTTCGTCATACCTTTTTCTTTGTTATCTGTAGGGACTTTTTTTTGTTGTTGTTTTTCTATTTTTACCTCCTAACAGAATAGGAGAGCTTCCTTTTCTTTTGCAGGAGTTTGCTCCGCGTGTAGTTGTCATGTACTTCATCGCTGCTGTAGCTTTTCTCTTCTATATTTCCAAAGTTCCAGAAAGATACTTCCCAGGTAGGAAATTCTCTTCCGGGTGTTTTTTCTGCAGTTAAGCTTCCTGCAGCGTCACAGTCCTTGCTTTGAATCGTGAACTTACTGTGAGAGAACAGGTTGACCATGTTCCCCATGAAGTATTCTCATATAGAGTAAAACGTTGCATATATTTGAAGCAAAAGGTGGCACACAACTTCTGATAAAGTTCGTTAAAGAACTTTCACTGCCTCCCAGCAAGTGGAGTGTATAGTTGACCTCTGGAGGAGACCAGTTGCTATTCGCATTGCATGAGTTATTGCCGAGTTTAACAACTTAACCACTTGCCCTCTTTTTTCCCCACAGGACAGTTGAACTACCTCGGCTCGAGTCACCAAGTGTGGCATATCCTGGCAGTGGTGATGCTGTACTGGTGGCATCAGTCCACGGTGTACATCATGCAATATCGACACAGCAAGCCCTGTCCTGAGTATAGCGCAGACTTGTGAGCGAAGGTATAGCACTTCTCATACTCACGGGACTAGAATAATCTAACAAGTATAAGGTTAAATAATCTTGGGTTTAACTTGTCACAAGTTTCAGTCAGCCTCCCTCACTAGCTTACCCAAAGAAAAACGTGATGGGTGTAATAGTTGCTGGTAAATAAAAAACAGTAGTGATCTTGATGCCAGGCTCTATGGTCCTTTGTACTGCTGTGTTGCATGAGGCTGCAGGCAGCTGCAATGCCCTTGACTAGAGTTTTAGAACCGGCTGGACAGAGGTCTGCCAGATCTCTTTCAGCTCTCTTTCCCAATTTTAATAGCCTCAAACTGCCATTAATATTTGTTCCTAAGTAGCCTTTTCCTTAGGCTTTTGTCAGGTTTTCAGTTTACTAAGCATTAATCTGGATTTTTTGGAAATCAGGTAAGAGTTGCTAATTTCATTTGCCTAGTAAGCAACTAAACTTGTTTCCCCACTGTATTTCAGAGACACTGCGATGAAACTTCTAACTTTTAGGGTCTGGACCTTACCTAATGAGCTGAGCTATGAAGTTAAACACTGAGGCAGATCATTTTCTGACTTCTGGACTGTTGCCCGCTTGCTGGGACAGTATATTATTATGAGTTTTCAAAAAACCAACAGCCTTGCCTGGGATCTGAGATGCATTTCCTTCTCAGACATTTCCTTTTCTGCAATCAAGTACAAAACTGGTCTTCCTGGAGTGGGACAATGGAAAGCTGAGCTGTAACAGTCAGCATTCAGCTCACAGCGGTATTGTTTTTGCTTGATAAACGCGAACAACAAACACAAGAAATTAACCTTGCTGAGCTGATAGACTGATATACCTGGTTTTCAGGTTTTGTTCAAGTGCATAATTAAGAAACCGCTCCTGACAGTGTGCATGTAAAACCATGGTAACTGTGGGACCCCATCTTGGATCTAAATCACAGCAGCACGGTGCGTCGCATCCTTCAGAACCTTTGTCTGAATGACGTGCTTGCGCTTCAGCATCAGTATGGTAACGTGTAAGATGGAATTCAGTGGGCTCTTGTACTGTTCTGGACAAGCTCTCTTCCTTTTTCTGACAGGTAAGGTCACATGTCATCCACAATAGGTTTATCTTCATTTCAGATCTTAAAACTTGTCTCTCCCAATATGTGTTAGTGGCATTACTTCAAAGAATTTCTCTACATCTGTTCAGTAATTCGTCATTAGTATTCATCCATATTTCAGCAGTAGTGCTAAGCCTGTGTGTTTAAGTTTGTTACTGTCTTGCAATCAGAGTTGCTAAGAATTTTTTTAAGTTACACTTGTTTAACAGGATGAAGTTAACACACCCCAAGTAGTGAACCTGCTGGGATTCAAAATTACTCAACTTTGGCCGTTTAACGTGTGATGTATTATACTGTACTTGCAGACTTTGTAACTGAAAATGACTTAGGCCATAAGCTTTCTACAGTGAAAAGGCCGCCCTGGGTTTTAGAATTTGTTGTGGAACTCTTTCTTAGAAACTCAACACTGGGGAGAGAAGGAATTGGCAGGTTAGTAAATAGCTGTAGCTCACTATGATTAAGCTCAATGGGTGCCATTTTTTCAAACAGGATTGGAATTACTTGGATTTTTGGGTTAGAATCAACATTTTCAAGTGGCTTTTGTATAGCAGCTGTGCTTGTGTTTACAGTTCAGCTGAGCAGTGGTAGCAAATGCTGCTGCTTCACACAATCAAGTGTCAGTCAACATTAGCCATTGGGAGATTTCTCTAATTGCCTCAAGATGCTGTCCCAACTTAATCCGAAGCCTTTAAAGTTTGGGAGCAGAGCTGTTGAAGGACACAATTGCATTGGCAGGGCTAGCATTAGAAAGCGTGAGATACCCTGACTGTTTCTGCTTTGACTACAGGCAGAAGTGTTCTGTTCTAGGATTGCAAACTGTCCCAGCCGACCTTGCTACAACTCCCCTTGTTACCTGCAGCGTGGCCTTCCACAGTGTCCCAGCATCTTCTCTCTTGTATTTTGTGATCATCTGGCAACAGCCAGCTTAATCCACTCTTGACAGGGGCCTTGTAAGATTTCAAGCAGGTTGTCTTACACCTGAAGCCAAGGAAGTGAGAGCACAGCCTAGCAGTGGGAAGGAAAACCTCAGGCAACCATGCTAAAAGCTGCTTAAGAACACAAGAAGCCCTCAATGAACTGTCAGCCTTGCCAGTGCTATGCCACGATGCCATTGCCTCTTGCCTCGTGGGGAAGGTCCTCCCTTCATGGATTCTAGCTTACTCAGAGGAGGAGAGGCTGCTTTTTTGCAGTGCCCTCCTCAGGGCAGGCAGCCTCGTGTCAGGTCCCCCCCAAAACTGCCTCCTCCCCGGGCTAAACAAGCCCAGCTCCATCAGCCTTTCTCATCAGGGGTGTGCCAAGAACATGCAGAATATCAATGGAAATGTACTGTCATGCACTTGAACACTCACTGAGGATGGAAAAGGTGGGATACTAACTTCTCTACTGGTATGCTGGAGAGTAATGCTATGTTAAGTTCAGTGGGTTGTTTGGTTTTGGGTTTGGTTTTTTTTTTCAACACCAGTAACAAACAGTGGCAAGAACTGACTTACCATTTAAGATTTAAGTCCCAGACCTTTGAGCCTTTCAGTGTAAACACTGGGTTTTTTTATTTTTATTTTTTAAACTTGACAGCCAAGTAAGTTTCAAGTGCACTAATTACTACTACTGAAGCCTGACAAGGAACCTGCAAGTATAAAAGCCTGTTTCCAGTGTTATGTGAACAACAATATTTCAAGAATGTGTGTTTGTGTATTGAAAGCATACTGACTTTACAGTTTGCTAATGTATTTTTTTTAGGTGAACTCTTAACTACTACAGCAGTTGTCACTGGATCAGGCAACTGACTGCAAAGCTGTACATTTTTATCATCCTGACAAAATTTATCTAGCTGCATGATGGTCTTTTATGTACATACCTAACCTGTAAATAAATTTCAGTTCATTGGATGTTTACTTGGAGTAACATCATTCTTGTGTCTCACCTAGTGAAAGGATAGATGCGAATTGCTCAACCACGCAACTTATGTCACTTCCCCTGGGTTGGAAATATACAGGGAGACTGTCTCTTGAATTATCAAGGCACAGCACAGACAGGCATGGCAGGTGTTCTAATTACACTATTCCAGTATTGCATGTAGTATATTCCACTAACAGTATCTCGTGCTCTATAGGTGTTTTTGGAGGAGCATCTCTAGGTGAATCTGCTGATGAACTGAGCTTTGCAACTGACTGCCTTTAGATGGAGATAGTTTCCAAGCAGGGCCTTATTCCTATCTTAAGAGCTCTGGCAATTTCTGTTGCTGTGGCCTAAACAAAGGAAGGAAAGGGTGATCCTGACTCTACCTCAACTGAAACAACAGTACCCTCCCCCACCTCAATGTTGTAAATGTGCTTTTGCACTAACAGCAGTAGTTCAATGGCATGCAAAAACCAGTGATGAGAAATCAAGTGCTAGCAGCTACGCTGCAAAAACAAAGAAACACAGCCAGAATATTTTTTAAACTCCTTTTGTAACTGCAGGGGCTGAAAACAAACCAAACCTCTAGCAGGGATGGCACAGGCAGAAAAGCTTTGCCCATACGCGTATCCTGCCTGTGCATACAGCCTGGAGCAGGCAGCTGCACCAGCCAGCAGGGATGACCTTGCACCCGCCATTACAAGCGCCTGTTCTCGTCCTGTTCTCCAGCACATGGCAAGCACTCACACAACACTTATTACCAGTAACCATCAGGATTTGCCGCAACTCCTCCCTCCGCTTGCACTCGGCCAACCCTTTAAACCACAGGCAACGTGCAGGTTGAGAGACCTTGTTGTCCATGACAAACTAACTCTTTAAAGCAAGAATTTAACAGCTGTGGTTGTTCATTTTCATTTAAGGTGAAGCCTCTATCTACTTAAACTGTATTTCCTTGTTGAATTGCTTTTAACAAAATTCGACCGAAACAAGCAATAGGCAAAAGATGCAACAGCCACTGGGACACAAGCTACTATTATTAACTGAGTCCTGCTGCCACTCCATCTTTTTTTGACTGTTTTCATTCTTGCTTCAGCTTACCTAAGAGTAAAATCAGTACAAGCAGCATTCAAAAGAACTGCTCCAGTACACAATTGCCAGAAGGGGGTCAAATTACTTAAAATGAAGTCTAGAAGATCAGGTGCAGAACTAAGTCCGCGGAGGTAGCATTGGGAACTGTATTTAACATTAAATTAAAGCCCACATGTGAATACTTAATAATGCAATGTTTAAGGACATCTGCAAAGTCACTGTTATCACATTTGTTTATTTAACAACTGCAAGTATTTTTTGACGTACATCAGTTTCACAAAAAAGTTAAAAGTTCTCTGTTTAGTGGTACACAAAAAAAGCTTTAGAAACTTGAAGTCTAACAAGAAATGGAAGTGTAGTTCAGGAAAGTGCACTTAAAAGCTGAAGGCCAGCAATTTCAAAATAGTTTTTATGCTCTTTAATATTAGGTGATGCCTTAGTCACAAATTTAGCTATACACACAACTTCCTTGGTTTTCCTTTCAACGTAAGCTCTATAGAAAAGTAACACAGCAGCCACCCTTTGCACTTTTTTTTCTTTTGCAGCTTTCACTCATATTCACTCCCTCAAGGGACACAAAAGTGATTGTGGCTGCTGTGTTACTAAAAACACAGCAACTCCAAGAGATACATGATGTGTGCGAGCATGTGTATGTTTTATATATACTTTTCATATATAAAAATACACGATATAGTATAAAAAAACTCCAGATAAACTCTTATTCTCACAGTAGCAAATATATCAACTTATTTTCACAGTACTTGGTTTTACTAACTGGGACACCCAGAATGATTAAAAGTTACTTCCTCCAAAGCTGGTACTCACGGGTCCCACATTACGCAGGTCAGCCAAAGCAATTGCGTGCACCTCAAGGCCATTTGAGAGTCTGCAGAGAAACACGGCGATCTTATTTTTCTTTCAATGACTGCAACCATTACAGGCTTCTTAGTACCTTTTGACAAAATCTCTCTCACACAGCTGATTTTAAACGGCCTATGGTTCAGTCATTCAACATGCTGAAAGACAAGCTGTAAAAATCGATCGGTATTTTCGGTCGGAAAGGAAGTATCAGATCCTTACCTTGCTATTATTGTCTTCACAGACAGTATGGTACATGTCTAGCGCAGCAAAGTCTTTCCCGTATTTCAGGTAAGGTCACAATACACTCCGTGGCAAGCAAGCATTTGAACATTCACACACACCAAATACAGGCAAAACGATATCACGTTCCCCGACAGTACCACATTTCGTCTCTGTTGACTAGCGGATCTTAGGTGAAATTAAACCCAAACTTGGGTTTAGTTGTGTATAAACAATATATACCACGCAAAGTCAACTTAGTGAAGCATACTAATCTCTTTTCATTCACAAGAAAGGATAAAATAATTTTAACTCTATAAAAGAAAAAGTTACATCTATGCAAAAACCTGTTTTGTATCTAGAATACAAAGAACAAGGTTGATTAAGGCCATTAGAAAGCAAATATCATCGGCCATAACTCGTATGCAGCCAGAGGCGTTATGCCAGTTTTAGAGTAACTTGGGTTTACAGTTTGTTTTTATCTCCCCTCTCAGTTTCTGTGTACAACCTCACTTCAGCTTTCCTGTACTGTAATACAACCCTCTGCCAAAAAACCAAACCAACCCACCACCCAAGGAAAACCTGTAGCACTCCTCAGCCTGAAGTCTCAGGGGAAACAGTCAAAAACCAAACACACCTCCTTCTCTTCTTAATTTACCTGAATGTTTAGGCCTACACCAAGTCTGCCAACACACAGATGCACAGCCTTTTCCCTCCATGTCCAACAGCGAACAACCTCTCCTTTTTCCCCCAGTCCCACACGTGTGGTTAACACTTTCCTCTGGCACCAAACAGCCAAGCAAACCCTCAAGTTGGTTTTCCACCAGGGAAAAGCAGCGGCTGCGTGGCTTTGGTGAGGACAAGCCGTATTTAATAAAACGGGTCAATTGCCTGTTGGTCTAGTCTCGTTTTGTTTCCACCCACCTGCCCCGTTTGTCATATCATTGTGTTTCAACAGCTCTTTAGGCAGGTAAGTGTAACAGTTCAGAAGGAAACCCTAGGAAGGTAGCTCATAAGCACGCGCAGAGAATAGAAAAAAAAAACCCAGAAAACAAACGAAAAAGACAGTTAACCTGAGTATCAGAAAATGCTACAAAACTTGGCGTGCGCTTCTTACAGCCTTTGGCACAAAAAAACCAGGTGAGAACAGTAGTAATAAAGCCTAAGAAACTCCTGTGCAAATAGAGTTGAAACATTTCTACTCATAACCTCCTAAGAGCTTAATTTCTAAGCCTGAAAAAGGCATACTTAACCAAGCACAGCTGTGATATTTCACTTCCACCCTGTGAGAAAAATGAAAATGAGGAAGATAAAGGTAATGAAGGTGTACAGATACATATGAGCTACTTTCAAATTCCAGGACTAGGAGAAGCAATCTCATATATATCCGAGGGAGTGTTTTATCAAACCAACGCCCAAAGGAGTCAAGTGACTGCTTTTTAATGTGGCCTTTTCATCGAATAGCATAAGGGATCACCCCCACCCTCACAGATCTCAGGACGACTGTATAACCGGCAGAAGAGTTTGGAAAAAAAAAAGTGCAACCCTAAATATTTCACTTCACCTCCTGTAAAAGGGGGGACACCTGGACACACAAACACAAATGCTTATGTCCTCCATATATAAACTTCCAATTATCTATCCATCAGCAATCAGTAGAGCAGGATATAAAGTTGAGACAAGCAGAGGAACTACCTCCTTCCCCTTCTTCTTGAGGACTTCTGCCACAGAAAAAAGGCAAATCGGACCGTGCCGAGTCATACTCGCTCTGCAGACGGCATACATGGCTTGGCACAAGTTGCAAGGCAGCGGAGAAGCCGTCCTGCCTACACACAGCACGTACTTCTACAACATGGTAATGAAATCTTGTCCTCAGCGAGTCTGTTCGCGTCACCTTCCCATCACCTACTGGCACCGCACGCTCCTGAGCCTTTAGCCACGTCTTGTGCATCTAACGTCTCAAGGTACTGTGCAACACGACAGGAGTCCTGCCTGTAAGGCTTCGTGGTGTGAAATGCAGTTTACTGGTACGGTAGCAATCAGCTTCTGCAAGCTACCTGCTGCTTACTGCTTCTGTTCCGAATCAAATCCGGGTTCAGGGAAGTTTCTTCAAAGCTCAGTGCATTTAGCAAAACTTTCTTATAAAATACACTTAAAGTAAAATAACAGATTCATCAGAACTTAAAAGAACATTAGGTTACAGTCATTTCATAAAATTATTATTGTTTTAAAAAAACCAACATCTTTGAAAGAATACACGTTTTCTTTGCAATAAAAATCCAAGAGGAAAAGAAAAGGTACTTTCAGACACAAATTCCAATTTGTAATCAAATAAATCTGATGGTTGCATCTCACAGTCAACTGTACAAGTCATCTGGAATACTCCACATGTGCCAAATGATTTGCTCGTGTAAACCAGTCTCTCTTCCCAGCGTACTGAGTAGTCTTCAAAGTGCTGCAAAGACTGGCTGCATCCCTGCTGGTTTAGTCCCCTATATTCAGGCTTTTTGTCTCGCAAACCATTATGTTCTCTGTATCTTTAGTTTTAACTCTAAGCTTCCAGTTTGCTATTTTACATTAATGGCACTTACTGTAAAACAAACAAACAAAAAAAGAACATTTAGGCACACAAAAAAAAAAATCCGCCTTTCACCTCTGCAGCTGCATAGATGTCTACCAGGTCCCAAGCCATAGCTGTGCTCTGGAATTCTGGGCCACAGCCCCTTGAGGACTTGGCTTATTTTTATGATGAATAAACGTAGTTTTCACCTCGGAAGCATAGACTTGACTATTCCCAGCAGATCAATCTGGACAGTAGTACATTTTGGTTCTTAGGTCTACTGCGACTGAGACATGAAGAATCACCACAGTTCCATTAGCCTACCTGTACGTATGGAAAATGTTTTTCATGTGATCTCTGCCTGTCTCCCTCCCTCCATCTCAGCACATCACAGAGGATTGAAAAGGCAACGCAAAAGTGCAGAATGACAATATGTTCCAGGGCCCAGAGTCAGTGACAGACAATGATTCTTATCTGATTTCTCTTTTCATTCTGGGAGTCATCTATCATAACAAAATGATGCTCCTGGTTCTTTTTTTCTACTTTTCTCCAAAAAAAAAACCCCAGTAAGAATTTGCCATCATTCTAAATTCCATGGCACAAGCTGGCCATGCCTTCTTGAACTTGAACAAACTGTAGGAGCCAGGTCCCTGTCAATTCAACCAGATAAATTACTCCACTAATTAAAACCTCTATTAAATAACTCAGAGAGGTGGAGGGGGTAACCTGTTGGAAGCATTTACTGTTTGGAAGGAAATGGAGCTGCTCCAAAGGGATCTAACTCTAGCGCCTGTTGTTGTTGGCTTTGCGCGCTCTGCACAACCAGTTCTGTGAAGGGTACTGCACCAAAGTCATCTGTTTTCAGCCCATCACCACCGTGAATGGCTCCGTGCAAGGAGTTCTGCCTAGGTCTACCAGCCACTACTACCGTGCTGTGATCCCCGCGGTTGTCACCAAACCCTTGATGCTGGGGATGCCGCATCAAGTCCGGTGGGTGGAAGGGTTTGGCTCCGAAAGGATCCAGCAGACTGTCATCTGTCTGCAGAGGATTGGTTCGATCTTTGCTGTCAGTCAACGCAACGCTTATGTTCTCTTTGGAGTCCGAGATAGTCAGGAACTCGTTGCTGCTCTGCGAATCCCTGCGGCCTGCTTTCTTGTGCCTGCGGGCTCTCTCAGGGGTGCGGTAGCTCGGTTTCAACGCCTTCTTCGTGGTGGTTGGGGTGCCGTGGTGACGCTTTCCGTTGTTCTTCGAGACCTCCTGTTTCATGCGCCTTTGTCGGGAAGAGAGTTTCTGCAGGTTACGCTGCTGCTTCACCTTCTGCTGCTGCTGACTCCCCGTGATCTCTTCAAAAGGAACCAGCCCAAACAGGTCCTCCTTACTCCCACCAGTCTTGGGAAGAAGGGAAGGCTGAAATGGTGTGCAGCCAAAAATATCGACGCTCCGTAGAGAAGTAGGGGAAAGCAGAGGCTCAGTTCCCGTCACCTGGCCATCTTGCTGAGATACCTTTTTGCTGAAGGGGGCTTTTGTGAAAACGTCAAAGTCATCCTGCTCTTGGTTCAGACCTGGAAAAGCCGTCTGAGAAGAGGCATCTTTATCCGTCTTCTGTCTTGCCTGAGGCTGCAGAGTAATAAAGGGCACTGCCCCAAACACATCAAATTCTTGGCCAGGGTTCACCTTGATTACAGTACTTGGCACCTCAGACAAGGATGTACGCATTGAACTGGGTTCTTTGATTTCACTGCTGCCCACACCATCTCTGAACCTACTGCTCAGGAGCCCTTCCACAGATTTTTGCTTGGTACGATCAGAATCAGAGTCAGAACTTGGCTTCTCCTCCTCCTCTTCCTCCACCTCTTCCTCAGAGTCCATGAGGAGAGGTCGGTGGCCTAAATTCTCCGGTTCTGTATCATTGTCATCATTGAAGTCTCCATTCTCTCCTTGCAAGGCTTCTTCATCCTCCTGTTCTTCTTCTTCCTCGCTGCTCTTGGGAGAAGGAGGATCAGATTCAAAATCACTCTCTGACTCATCACCACCTTTTGTCACCTGTCCCTCTGCAGTTCTCCTCCCTGGTCGGGAATCTCTAAAAGCGTGGCTCAGTTTTCCAGCCTTGTTCGGGGTCCCTAAGGTATTTCCTTGATTGCTGGCTGAGTTATCCACTTGCTTCCCAGGGGAACCTGCAGGTCCGAAGAAAAATGCAAAACAAAACTTGAAATACACTTTTAAAGTCAATGCTTATTCCACACACGCCATACCCACACATACCAAGAGTAGATGCACACATATGTTCTGTACTTACTGAGGGAAAGGAGCTAAAACCATACCTAGTATTTCAAACAGCACTTATAAAATTGTTTACTCGTAAAATTTATTTACTCCTCAAGCACAAGACGTCTGGAAAAACAATACCAGTATTTTGGGGGCACAGAGCAGGGACCAATGGACACAAGTGATGTCTAGAGCCAGCTTTTCAAACGCACTCATTACACAGCAGCTCCTCTCCAGGGAAACAGGAGCCAACGAGTTTTAAAGATTTTAAGGTTTGTTTTCATTCTTTTTTCTTTAAAAGCTGACTACCTATTTCTTGAAGTACTTCTGCTTTGTTAGTCCGCTCTTATAAACTTACTGTTCTAGTCATGAAAACAATCAGCATAGGCAAAAGAAAAGTATTTGGCAATTGCAGATAATTCACTTCAGATCTCGGGTACCATTTCACAGCAACAACAGAGCTCCGAGGGCTCTGCTGGCCTACCAACCAGTCTGCTGCACAGTTTCTGTATACCAGAAAGCAAATGCACCTTGTTGACAAACACATCCCCTAAGTTGCCTTTTCAAGAGGTTCTCCAAGACCGGCCTGCTGTATTAGAGCTTTTACTACACTGTCAGATTCATGTGGCAATACTCACATACTGAATGCTGTTTCAAAAGGGAAACGAGTGCGTGACACCCCGTTAGTACCCAGCCTTTCCTCTCCCAAGCTTTCACAGCACGAGACAATCCTACACAACATCTCCAAGATAATGAGCTTCCTCTACGGTCTATAAAAACCAGCGACTGGGCGAGAGACAAGTTTGTTTCTTGTCAAAGCCGCAGGGAAGATCGCATGAGGTCACGATCTCTGTCCTGCCCTCGAGGGCACCAACTCCTTACATGAGCTGAGAAAGTGGGACTTGGAGCCTGCCAAGAGCCACAACAGGGACACGGGGTTTGGGGCTTCTTTCCTCACAAATGTGTTTTGAGGCATACAAAGGGAAACGGAGAAGACAACAGTCTCTACAGGGAGATCGCAAGGGAATCGGCTAACATAACTATATGGAAATAGAAATGCAAGCACAAGGATGTTTTCCAACACATGTCTTGGTTTGAAATACTCCCTCCCTTCCCCCAGTCAGGACCAAAACCATAATATGGACTCATCAGTGCCCGTAAGAATTAAGCCTATGGTCGCTGCCGTTAAGGCATTTAATAAGCTCTCCCCTTGGTTTAGGCTGAAACAGCCTCTCTCTATCAGGGCCCCCCCCCCCCCCCCCAATGCCAGCAAAGCACACACTGCGATAGCTACACGGGAGAGCTTTTAGTTTTTTGTTGGTTTTTTTTTTTTTTTTTTAAAAGCAATACTTGCCTTTGCTTGTCAAATCTATGCTTCGGCAATGTCTTTTTTTCTAGTGACACCCAAGCTCCACATTCAGCCCCTTCTAACTTCTAGTGTAGCAGTTCAGGCAAAAAAAAAGGTATTACTTTAACTTGAGAGAAGTGTTTTGGTGTTTGTTTCTAAATAGGATCTGTCAGCTCAGGTTGTCTATTGTAAAGAAATTAATCTATTCATTTTACTCTAACACCTTCATCCCCGCTATTTAATGTCTGACAACTAGAGCTAAGAGAACAATTCACTGCTGACTCTTTTGTGGGGTGGTTGCCTTCAAAATACTAGGAGCAGTAAAAACTTCACATCAGTAAACAAAAAAGATGGCAAGAGCATGCAGACCAGATAAGCCTGCATGGTACCATTGGTATAGCACTCATCAGACACAGGCAAAACAAGTTTCTCCCTGTGTCGGAGCCCCACTGCTGCACTGAGGTGTTTTCAGGAGCGTTAACTGACTGTCAATTTTCTATTTGAAGAAAACGAACAGGAGGAAAAGCGAAACACTTGGACTCAGCTGGGGAAAGCATACTTGCTCTTGAGATGTCCTTTCCTCTAGGACACAGATCACACAGCAGCCACGCCACTTTAAGAATGTATAATTGAACACGTAACGCTAACAGCAGCAATGATAATCCACCTCTTCGCAGACACACCGAAAATTTGTATGCAATACTTGGAAGTGAGACCACATCACAGTCACTGCCAGCTGAACACTAGGTGGGTAGCAACCTTCAGAGGGGGACCAGAACAATGGCAAAACCAACTGAGTTGATGCTTGCGCCACCGAAACCTCGGCCTGACAATCACTTTATATCGCCTAACGGTCCCACTGAGTTCACTTTCACCTGGTGAGGAACATCCAGGCACCCGCCTGCACTAGTGAGATGCTGTGCAACAGAGTACAGCCTGAGCGCTGGGTATGAGTTTCTGACATGTCTAGTATCTGACACAAACCTGGGGGCAGGGGTTGGTCCTCATTAAAGCAGTTATTAACAAACTCTAGTCATAGCACCATGCTAGACTACTGACCTTCTCACCTAACTAAAACTAATGCCTTCCATTTATGGTTTTCTTAAACAATTGCTGAAATTTAATCGTCTCAAAGTGTTCATAGGATTGAAAAAGCTGGCGATGGATGTATGACCAGTTATGTCTCTGAAAAAAAAAAATTCTTCAGCCAAAATTTAGCTCATGAGTCTCCTGTTCTTACCATACACAAAATAATTTCTCAGGTAGTTTCTTCTTTCACAAGGAAATTAGCATGCAACTTTCAAGCCAAGTAAGATTTTTTCCTTCCTATGCTCCAGTTTAGACCAGAATATTAAGTTTCACAAGAGAAATTTCTTCTTTTACTGAAAGGAATTCACAGTCAATTTCTTCATCCAGTAGCCATTTTGCTCTGCTGCAATTACACTTAAAATAACAATAAAAATTCTGCAATAATGTATTTTATGTATGGATTTAAAAACAAGATGACTAGAATGACCAAAAACATCAGGTGATTAGGGCTTTGAGCTGTTTCTTCTTTGCTTCTCGTGTCAGATTGCTTCTTATCTACTGTAATTTTACATACTACATATTTGTTTTACCCACTAAATTAGAATGTGGATTATTTGGCAGCTTACTTTAGATTTCCCTAAGGTACAGCCTTCACATCGCACTATATAACCCCCTATCTTCCAAATCCTGCTGCTTCCAGTATTTACTGAAACACTAATGTTAACATAAATGAAATTACACTTAAAAGGAGAAGAAAGAGGAAGTATTTCTAGGTTAGATGTTAACACCACTTACACAACAAAACACCCAAACCTTTTATGTATGTCAACATCCACATGAGTTAAAACTCCCAAGGAACGATTATACCTTGGTACATAATTTCCATATGCAGAAAACAATTTATGAAGTGGTTTTTTTAAAGACAGGAACTGAGCCACAATATATCCAATATACCTGACTTCCCCAAAGGTTTAAATATTCTTTGGTAATTGCTGCCACAGTCACACTCCCTGGAAAACAAACTGCAAAGGACACCGACAAGACAAACAACCAACCTCTACCAACAGCTACTGACTGGCTGAACAAGTAATTTGAGCCACACGGCATTTAGCTCTCAGTAACAGACCTCACTGGACAAAACATACATCCACCAAACTTGACAACACATGGCAAAACACTTAAAGCAGCTTCCCAAACCGTACCCAATGTATTAGTGCTCACACACCAGCTATTCCAACATCTCTTCATACACCCACCAAGACATGTTATTCTTGCTGACAAAATGCAGCAGCTGATTTGGGGAATGCAGACAACCTCATTTTTAATGAATCTCTATTAGCATTCTAAATTTCCTTTCTTGAATGTAACAAATACCATCTCTAGGAAGACTGGGATGAAGGCAGGAACAATTCATGGAGCAGCCCCAGTTGCTAGAGATTCGTGTTCTATAGCAAACGCAGGGACTGCCTGCTTGCTATGTATGAAGCTAAGTGTTTTGTTCACATACTTGGAGCTCTGAACCAGTCTTCAAGGAAACGCTGAGCACATTACTTAAACAGAGGCAGAGAGATGGAAGGTGCTTGAATAACTAGGGATAGTATTAAAAACTTGAAGTGTGTATTCATTTTCACAATACTTTCCACACAGCACTCTGTCTTGGCACCAGTCAGTTTTGCAGCCTCTTGCTCTACTCGGGGCAACGGGCCTAAGCCATCGCACACTGAATATAGCACACAACACCCTTTTTAAACAATGGCTAGAATCAAGCAACACACAGGAAAAGGAAGCTTGAGCCTGTGTATTTCTAAAGGTCTGTCCCTGCCCACAAGAAAACATTTTCTCAAATACCTCGATTCTGAGGCCACTCAAAGATTAAGCAAGCATATTTATTTTTCCAGCCGTAACATCACCACAGCACCAGGCAATTAAGTGCCTATTCGCTCATCAGCTTCAAATCCCTCCTTTCACTACAAATGATTTCCGAACAGGGTTTCTGAATTTCTAGCTCTTCAGCTCTGAGATTCCTCCCTATGCACCACCTCCTTGCCAGAGCTGTAAATACTACTTCTTTATCACAGCAGGAAATTTAGGTTCCTGTATTTTGTACAGACTTAAAATTATTGAAGAGATAATAAATTGTGCAGTGATTAGAAACACACAAGCTACAGTAACAGCTCAATAGTACTCAAATTTCAGACCCAGCATGTAAAACCCTACATGCACAACTTAAAACAGGAAAGCAAACAGTACACATGGGATAACGCTGGGAACAGCAATTGCTCCTGCTATATAGTTTTCAAGAAAGCACTTTTGTTTCTAAAGTATTTTAAGAGTGGTGACCTCACTGCTCCCACATTTGTATTTTTCAGGAAAGAGCACATATCTTGCATTTTTCTTCAGCTTGTGTTGAGGTGGTGTAAACAAACAAACAGAGCCATCTGTTCCAGGCAGACATTAGTCTAAAGATAAAAGTTGTAAACATTTTGTAGTTCAACATAGCCAAACTTCATGGAAGAAACCATCTCTGCACAC